CTGGACGGTGGTGCTGGACGGTGGTGCTGGACGGTGGTGCTGGACGGTGGTGTTGGACGGTGGTGCTGGACGGGTGGTGCTGGACGGTGGTGCTGGACGGTGGTGCTGGACGGTGGTGGGACGGTGGTGCTGGACGGTGGTGCTGGACGGTGGTGCTGGACGGTGGTGCTGGACGGTGGTGCTGGACGGTGGTGCTGGACGGTGGTGCTGGACGGTGGTGCTGGACGGTGGTGCTGGACGGTGGTGCTGGACGGTGGTGCTGGACTGGACGGTGGTGCTGGACGGTGGTGCTGGACGGTGGTGCTGGACGGTGGTGCTGGACGGTGGTGCTGGACGGTGGTGCTGGACGGTGGTGCTGGACGGTGGTGCTGGACGGTGGTGCTGGACGGTGGTGCTGGACGGTGGTGCTGGACGGTGGTGCTGGACGGTGGTGCTGGACGGTGGTGCTGGACGGTGGTGCTGGACGGTGGTGCTGGACGGTGGTGCTGGACGGTGGTGCTGGACGGTGGACGGTGGTGCTGGACGGTGGTGCTGGACGGTGGTGCTGGACGGTGGTGCTGGACGGTGGTGCTGGACGGTGGTGCTGGACGGTGGTGCTGGACGGTGGTGCTGGACGGTGGTGCTGGACGGTGGTGCTGGACGGTGGTGCTGGACGGTGGTGCTGGACGGTGGTGCTGGACGGTGGTGCTGGACGGTGGTGCTGGACGGTGGTGCTGGACGGTGGTGCTGGACGGTGGTGCTGGACGGTGGTGCTGGACGGTGGTGTGGACGGTGGGGACGGTGGTGCTGGACGGTGGTGCTGGACGGTGGTGGACGGTGGTGGGACGGTGGTGCTGGACGGTGGTGCTGGACGGTGGTGCTGGACGGTGGTGCTGGACGGTGGTGCTGGACGGTGGTGCTGGACGGTGGTGCTGGACGTGCTGGACGGTGGTGCTGGACGGTGGTGCTGGACGGTGGTGCTGGACGGTGGTGGGACGGTGGTGCTGGACGGTGGTGCTGGACGGTGGTGCTGGACGGTGGTGCTGGACGGTGGTGCTGGACGGTGGTGCTGGACGGTGGTGCTGGACGGTGGTGCTGGACGGTGGTGCTGGACGGTGGTGCTGGACGGTGGTGCTGGACGGTGGTGCTGGACGGTGGTGCTGGACGGTGGTGCTGGACGGTGGTGCTGGACGGTGGTGCTGGACGGTGGTGCTGGACGGTGGTGCTGGACGGTGGTGCTGGACGGTGGTGTGGTGCTGGACGGTGGTGCTGGACGGTGGTGCTGGACGGTGGTGCTGGACGGTGGTGCTGGACGGTGGTGCTGGACGGTGGTGCTGGACGGTGGTGCTGGACGGTGGTGCTGGACGGTGGTGCTGGACGGTGGTGCTGGACGGTGGTGCTGGACGGTGGTGCTGGACGGTGGTGCTGGACGGTGGTGCTGGACGGTGGTGCTGGACGGTGGTGCTGGACGGTGGTGCTGGACGGTGGTGCTGGACGGTGGTGCTGGACGGTGGTGCTGGACGGTGGTGCTGGACGGTGGTGCTGGACGGTGGTGCTGGACGGTGGTGCTGGACGGTGGTGCTGGACGGGACGGGTGCTGGACGGTGGTGCTGGACGGTGGTGCTGGACGGTGGTGCTGGACGGTGGTGCTGGACGGTGGTGCTGGACGGTGGTGCTGGACGGTGGTGCTGGACGGTGGTGCTGGACGGTGGTGCTGGTGCTGGACGGTGGTGCTGGACGGTGGTGCTGGACGGTGGTGCTGGACGGTGGTGCTGGACGGTGGTGCTGGACGGTGGTGGTGCTGGACGGTGGTGCTGGACGGTGGTGCTGGACGGTGGTGCTGGACGGTGGTGCTGGACGGTGGTGCTGGACGGTGGTGCTGGACGGTGGTGCTGGACGGTGGTGCTGGACGGTGGTGCTGGACGGTGGTGCTGGACGGTGGTGCTGGACGGTGGTGCTGGACGGTGGTGCTGGACGGTGGTGCTGGACGGTGGTGCTGGACGGTGGTGGTGGTGCTGGACGGTGGTGCTGGACGGTGGTGCTGGACGGTGGTGCTGGACGGTGGTGCTGGACGGTGGTGCTGGACGGTGGTGCTGGACGGTGGTGCTGGACGGTGGTGCTGGACGGTGGTGCTGGACGGTGGTGCTGGACGGTGGTGCTGGACGGTGGTGCTGGACGGTGGTGCTGGACGGTGGTGCTGGACGGTGGTGCTGGACGGTGGTGCTGGACGGTGGTGCTGGACGGTGGTGCTGGACGGTGGTGCTGGACGGTGGTGCTGGACAACGGTGGTGCTGGACGGTGGTGCTGGACGGTGGTGCTGGACGGTGGTGCTGGACGGTGGTGCTGGACGGTGGTGCTGGACGGTGGTGTGCTGGACGGTGGTGCTGGACGGGTGCTGGACGGTGGTGCTGGACGGTGGGTGGTGGACGGTGGTGCGGACGGTGGTGCTGGACGGTGGTGCTGGACGGTGGTGCTGGACGGTGGTGCTGGACGGTGGTGCTGGACGGTGGTGCTGGACGGTGGTGCTGGACGGTGGTGCTGGACGGTGGTGCTGGACGGTGGTGCTGGACGGTGGTGCTGGACGGTGGTGCTGGACGGTGGTGCTGGACGGTGGTGCTGGACGGTGGTGCTGGACGGTGGTGCTGGACGGTGGTGCTGGACGGTGGTGCTGGACGGTGGTGCTGGACGGTGGTGCTGGACGGTGGTGCTGGACGGTGGTGGACGGTGGTGGGACGGTGGTGCTGGACGGTGGTGCTGGTCGGTGGTGCTGGACGGTGGTGCTGGACGGTGGTGCTGGACGGTGGTGCTGGACAGGGTGTTGGACGGTGGTGCTGGACGGTGGTGCTGGACGGTGGTGCTGGACGGTGGTGCTGGACGGTGGTGCTGGACGGTGGTGCTGGACGGTGGTGCTGGACGGTGGTGCTGGACGGTGGTGTTGGACGGTGGTGCTGGACGGTGGTGTTGGACGGTGGTGCTGGACGGTGGTGCTGGACGGTGGTGTTGGACGGTGGACGGTGGACGGTGGTGCTGGACGGTGGTGCTGGACGGTGGTGCTGGACGGTGGTGCTGGACGGTGGTGCTGGACGGTGGTGCTGGACGGTGGTGGACTGGACGGTGGTGCTGGACGGTGGTGCTGGACGGTGGTGCTGGACGGTGGTGCTGGACGGTGGTGCTGGACGGTGGTGCTGGACGGTGGTGCTGGACGGTGGTGCTGGACGGTGGTGCTGGACGGTGGTGCTGGACGGTGGTGCTGGACGGTGGTGCTGGACGGTGGTGCTGGACGGTGGTGCTGGACGGTGGTGCTGGACGGTGGTGCTGGACGGTGGTGCTGGACGGTGGTGCTGGACGGTGGTGCTGGACGGTGGTGCTGGACGGTGGTGCTGGACGGTGGTGCTGGACGGTGGTGCTGGACGGTGGTGCTGGACGGTGGTGCTGGACGGTGGTGCTGGACGGTGGTGCTGGACGGTGGTGCTGGACGGTGGTGCTGGACGGTGGTGTTGGACGGTGGTGCTGGACGGTGGTGCTGGACGGTGGTGCTGGACGGTGGGACGGTGGTGGGACGGTGGTGCTGGACGGTGGTGCTGGACGGTGGTGTTGGACGGTGGTGTTGGACGGTGGTGTTGGACGGGGGTGCTGGACGGTGGTGCTGGACGGTGGTGCTGGACGGTGGTGCTGGACGGTGGTGCTGGACGGTGGTGCTGGACGGTGGTGCTGGACGGTGTTGCTGGACGGTGGTGCTGGACGGTGTTGCTGGACGGTGGTGCTGGACGGTGGTGCTGGACGGTGGTGCTGGACGGTGGTGCTGGACGGTGGTGCTGGACGGTGGTGCTGGACGGTGGTGCTGGACGGTGGTGCTGGACGGTGGTGCTGGACGGTGGTGCTGGACGGTGGTGCTGGACGGTGGTGTTGGACGGGGTGCTGGACGGTGGTGCTGGACGGTGGTGCTGGACGGTGGTGCTGGACGGTGTTGCTGGACGGAGGTGCTGGACGGTGGTGCTGGACGGTGGCGCTGAACGTTTGTGCTGGACGGTGGCGCTGAACGTTTGTGCTGGACGGTGGTGCTGGACGGAGGTGCTGGACGGTGGTGCTGGACAGTGGTGTTAGACTGGGTGCTGGACGGTGGTGCTGGACGGAGGTGCTGGACGGGGTGCTGGACGGTGGTGGTGGACGGTGGTGCTGGACGGTGGTGCTGGACGGGGTGCTGGACCGTGGTGCTGGACCGGGTGCTGGACAGTGGTGCTGGATGGTGGTGCTGAACGCTTGTGCTGGACGGTGGTGCTGAACGTTTGTGCTGGACGTTGGTACTCGACGGAGGTGCTGGACGGGGTGCTGGATCGGGTGGTGAACGGAGTGTTGAACGGGGTGCTGGACCGGGTGCTGGACGGGGTGCTTGACGGGGTGCTGGACTGGGTGCTGGGCCGGATGCTGGATGGGGTGCTGGACGGGGTGTGGCATGGGGTGCTGGACGGAGGTGCTAGACGGAGGTGCTAGACGGGGTGCGGGTCTGGGTGCTGGACCGGGTTCTGGACTGGGTGCGGGACGGAGGACCAGAGTATATGTACCGACGTACAAGGAAATTAGAACGTAGAAATCTGAACTATTGAGTTGGACAAACCGGAAAACTATTTTTTACTTGTGTTGTAAATGACAAACTAAACTTACCCATCCTAACCTCCCTCGGCCTTATGCATGACATCTAAGGCCTAATGTGGTACATATGTGCGCTACTCCAGCCCTGGGAATGAGTAAGTGTGTGTTTTAGCTTCATTTATTTTAAAAGAATTCCCTACTGGTCAATATACTACTAACTAAAAGCTAAGTACGTACGAATTCTGACTAATGACGATCGTCACAATAGGTACTGTCTAAACAGGAAGATGGTTTGAGCTTCAGCAGTTTCGTTTTATTTTTGGTCTAATGTTTTTAATTAGTTTTGGTATCAGTAGGAGCTGTCTTGCCTAGGTCAAGCTGCCTTCTGCACTCCTAATTTCTTATGGTGTTATGTTTGTCCTGATACTTACCTCCTGAATCATCCTTTAAACATAATTTGTTTATCAACATAATCAATGAGGAATTGCTCGTTCTTGGCCAACGCCTTGTTTTCATTGACTCCCGAGGACAGGATATTTCCTGTGAGCTGGGAGGTGTGAGAGAGGCCTGTGAGTTGTGAAGGGGGAGAACCTGTGAAATGTGAGGGGCAAAGGGATGTGTGAGGGGGAATAGAAAAAAAGTTGCTGTTATAGCGAGTGGTCGCGTCCGTTGTAAACTCACTAGAGCTACCATCAAGCAAGGAGACAGGAGATTCATCCCTCCGGATACTAATTATGGACCGACAATGCATCTTACTCTTTGGACTCCTGGTACTTTTAGCTGGTAATGGTTGGTCATTGGTTCCCAAACGACCATACATCAACACCAGGAAGCTGGTGGTGCTGTCGGAGGCCTTGGACTTGTTCCGAGGCTCGACTGTGATACTGTACCTGGATCCCTCTGTTCCAGGCCAAACCCAGCAAACGGTAATTACTCTAGAGGCGATGCAGAAGACGTTTTACACGACTATAAATCTTGGAGTGAATGAGAGGTGGAGGCCAGACCAGCAGGTTGTGGCGCTCTCTCAGGGCATCTCCGTGCTCCATCTCGTCCTCTTCATCGCTGACCCAACACAATTCCTTCAGCCGCTGTGGCTAGACTGGAAGCCCCTGGACCTCTTACTCTTCAGTCTGGCACCCAGCTCCAGTCTCGATGTCCTTAGTGAGGAGGTTTTCAGCAGCGTCAGAAGTCTGGCTCTTATTGACGAGATCCCGAGTGAGGGAAATGGAAGGCCTAATGCAATGGGGGTGTTTACTGTCTTACCTTTCTCATCAAGCAGTGTGAAATTCCTCGGTAAGTGGAATCCCCAGTTTTTTACTCGGAGAGAAATCTTGTTTCCTGACCGCTTTCCTGCATTTGAAGGGTACAGGTTTCAGTTGGCCACCTCCATGGACGACGAACCTTTCTTATATCAGAGGAAGTCTGATAACGCCATATCAGGGTCAGCAATAAGGATGTTGGTTGCGCTCTCAGCAACACTAAACTTCACCTACACAATGACGGAGAGTGCGCCTGACCACAAGTGGGGCAGAATGGAAAACGGAACTTGGGTTGGAATTCTGGGAATGATATATAGAAAAGAAAAGAATTTCACTGTGAATTGTTTTACATTGATGGATGATCGTATCAGAGACTTTGCAGCATCTGAGCAGTATTTAATGCATAACTGTGGAGCCTTCCTGTTGAGGCCTCAGCCTCTGGCGACGTGGAGGAACGTGTTCCGGCCCCTGCAGCCCCTGGTGTGGGCTGCTGTTATCGCCTCTCTTGTGGTCGCTGTTGGACTCCTAACTCTCCAGGTGAGTCGGGCCTCTCATTCACTGGTGCATATAATCAACCCAACACAAACTCACAAACGAGGGTAACATATAAATTCATATAAACGGGTAGAAATATACACAACAATGCACAAACACACATACACATATATGGCAACAATATATCTTTACAATAGTTACCAAATTTCGACGAGCCTCCCATATTTAGATATAACTGGCTATTTAATATTGGTATAATGGAAATAAAGCATATATGGGAAGAAATATCAAGGGCATTATAAGACCATAAGAATTAAGGACTTTGTAAAAGGTCGGATGGACTACATGAGGAGCACGTATTTATATCCACCCGAACACACTCATACATAGATTCAGTCTCATTCATCATCCTATATAGACTCATTACTCATTCTTCTCAATGTTTGTTCATGATGCAAAAATTATGAGACGAATGAAGACAGATGAAGATAGACAGTGACTACAGGACGATTACAGACTACTGCCTTTAGAAACTTGTGTAAGGAATCGTTCAGGACCTTGTATACCACTTATGTCAAACCAATTCTGGAGTATGTAGCCCCAGCGTGTAGTCCATACCTTGTATGGACTAGGTATGGACATCGTGACACAAGGCCATACTAGAGAAGATTCAGAGGAATGCCACCAGACTAGTCCCAGAACTGAGAGGTATGAGCTACGAGGAAAGGCTATGGGAGCTAAACCTCAGGTCCCTGGAAGACAGAAGAGTTAGGGTAGAAATGATCACCACCTACTCAGTTCTCAGGGGAATGGACAGGGTGGACAAAGACAAACTATTTAGCATAAGTGGAACAAGAAGAAGGGGACACAGGGGAAAACTTAGAGCCCAAATAAGCCACAGAGACAGTAGAAATAATTTTTTCAGTGTCAGAGTAGTTAACAAATGGAATGCATTAGGGAGTGGAAGAAGAAGAGTCTCCCTCCTGAACAATGGCATATAGGATTCGACTCCTGTAGACATGTCGTTCACGTATATTAGAAATAAAACTGGTCCCAGCCGGATTCTTCAAGTACTCCACTCGTTACAGTTCGCTAGTCTGACTTCTCGGCCCTGACTGTTACTCTCTGGCTCCGGCCTGTTAGGTAGTTCCTTACATATGCCAGGGCTTTTCCTCTTACTCCCGCCTGCCTTTAAAGTTTAAATAGCAGTCTCGTGTGTGGCTGGGCCACTCTTGAAGAGTGGGCTCCGGTCTGTGTTTCACCCCCCAACCCCCGCCCCCCCTCCCCTGAAATATTTGGGAACTATTTCCCTCCTGTAAACATAAATAATGGCCTGATAAATTTATCTAGTAATACACAACTAATAAGGATTCATCCTTCGTTTAAATCTATAAAACTAATTACAAATTAATAATAATTAAACTAAGTTATATATGAGGATTATTCTTGTTATTTAAATATAAATTCTAACTATATTGTTACATAAACTAATTCTCTTGAACGAGTAATTGAAATAATTCCCTTAAATTTCGTTAGTGAACTAAAGTGTGGAGATTAAATCCAATATATTATATATTAAACAATTTAATATATTTAATTCGGATTTAGTAATAACTCAAATTGATTAGAACAACTTCCAATTTAATAACTATTAATCCACAAACAAGTGAGAGAAGGACATCCATGTTGATCTCGAACATAGACACGGTCTTCACAATTTCACTAACATCAAGGAGAATAGTGATACCAACTGTCTTTAAATCATTGCTGGACGCTTATGCCACAGACGGCTCTTAGTGGAAGATATTGACAGCCCGGTTCCGACCCAGGCTACGTATTGTGCTCTCACTTAGTGTTCAGTGCTGTTCATGTTAGTGTGAGTGGATGAAATCACCGAGGCTGGTAATGCGCCTGTGATTCTCCAAACACCAGTAAGCATACAGCTAGAAAATTAATTAATTTAAAAGATAACAGTGATAACAGTGAGAATGTTGACATAAATTGTATATTTCCTCAATTTGTGTATTTCTGGCATTAATTGCACATTTGGTGGAGTCCCCAGTTGAGTTATCCCTGGAGCGTCGTCATTTACCACGAGACGACGTTAGTCACAGGTCGGCGTGTACATAATTTAATTAAACAAATAATATTTTTTTCAGTATCAGGGTACTTAACAAAAGAAATGCGCTAGGAAGAGATGTGGCAGAGGCAGACTCCATTGTGAGGGATATTATATATTGTTTTATTCCTGAAATTGCATGTAACGGCACTAGAACAGGTGGTAACACTGCAAGAGGTCACTTTGCAGAAAGTCCTAGCAACAGGCGAGAGCAATCACCGAGGTCCACTCAGGTGGAGAGAAAGACCCTCTGGTGGAGTCGCAAAATGTATTTTTTTTTTATTATATAAAACAACAGTTATATACACATAAATGTAAAGATACCAAAGTAACATTGTTGTACACGAACACCACCAGATACAGCGCCAGAAACAATGCACCAAACCAGGGCTCCACAATACACCAAACCAATACATAACTTTATAAAACAATATATACACAATGCTAATACAGAAGACACATACCCAGGGCACAGCACATATACGTGCACTATATGTACACCAATCACACAAGTGGAACACACATAAGGTACTTCAAATACAGAGCACCAGTATCACACGACAGAAAAACATAACAATAATAATAACACACACAATAACCCTCCACAAATGATGGCGGTTACCACGCACCAAAATAAATAAAAAACAGACGGAAACACCCAACATAATAAGGCCCAAAAAGGGAAATCCAAAAACAATCCAATGAAAACATTACACTACAACTGACTACAGTCAGAGAGGAAAGAGGCACACACACGACCGGAATGAACATATTCCAGGGTCAAAACACATACACAGCTCAGTTGTAACTAGCAAGTAGGAGAGACACCTCTGAAACTTGCAACACAAACACACACACACACACACACACACACACACACACACACACACACACACACACACACACACACACACACACACACACACACACACACACATTGAAATCCCCACATACAATGGGGTCAAGACAGCACAATGTCAAGGAAAAATGCATGGCAAAACTCATTGCAACGTTGGACACCACCTAAGAGCAGGACCAGGAAGCGCGGGCTTGTCCGCCCGAAACAACGGTTCCTGAAAAATAACATAAAGAGGGAAACCCTGCCGGACCGAGCGCACAATGGCAAGTAAATAATTATCAAAAGAAGGCACCAAGCCGGGGGAGGCTACATAACACCGTCAAAAGTGTGGGATATTCAAAAGGCACTAAATATCACTAAGGATGCCAATACGAGAACAAAAGCGCATAAGGGGAACAATATCAAAGGCATCTGATTCACCAAGGATACTATCGAGGGACAGGGAACCACGAGGGACAGATGGAAATCGAGGCGCACTAACATCCTGGAAGTCAGGACATTCAACAGGAATATGCACGACCTTAAGAGGGACAGTGCAGTTTGGACAATAAGGAGCAGGGCGGCGCCCCATTAAGTGCCTGTGAGTTAAGCATGTATGGCCAATACGTAACCTCACTAGAGCCATTTCTCACCGCCGGTTACGGTGGAAGAAGGAAGGCCGAAGGGACACACTTCCTTTAAGAGCACCCAGCTTGTTACCAATAACAGAAG